GTTAATATGTTTCTCATTGCTGGATGCTTTTTTTTTGACACAACAGGGATGGGAAAAGTAACACTGGTAAATAATCATGTTAAGAGTTTGACTGGAAAGCCAACATAACTGGTGATAAATTTAAGTTTTATCACCAGCCACCTGGGACTAATGTCATTTATCATTTTATACTCTGCTACTTGGGACTCTGTGACTTTCATGAATCCCATTTTTACCAAAGGCAGTTATCGGTCCTAATTTACCCTTTATAAAGCCCGAATTTAGTTTATGTCATTATTTTAGGAGATTAATAAAAAAAACAGTTGTAGCTGACGCGTGATAAATGCTTTTCAATTGAACTTTGTGTCAGAAAATTATTCTCTAGCTCCCTCTAGAGGTTCAAATACCACATGTCCACCTTACTTCCATTCACATTAACTGAAGTTGCAAGAAATCAATTATAAGAGTCAAATAAATCAACTGATATAGTTTAGAAACATTAATTTTTCACCAAAGGAAGTGATCAATCTGATCCCTTTGTGTCTGTCATTTTTGTAGTAGGTTACAGCTAATTAACTAAAAAAAATCTAATATATCAAACCATTTAGGGGGAATTTTTTATATGAAAATGAAAGCAAACGTATTTGTTTTTTATGTAATTTTAAACTGGCTGTGCATCTAATAATCTCATGGTATATTTAAAATGTGAATCATGTTTAACGTAAATATATAAGTCTTACATCTACATATTTCATAGTATGTTGATTTTAGTGTGCCATCAGGTGTATTCTATAATGCTTTTTGCTCCCTATACACCTCAGGGCACATTTCACAATGATTATATTAACCATTTAGGAGGATATTCCTAGTATAAATAAAATGTAAGGATTTAATGAAATATTGTAACATTTAGCAACTATTTTTATGTTTCTGTTCATAAAAATGAACAGAAACGACCGTCTGTGTCATAAAGTTGTATTTTTATTTTTGAATTACTGAAATAAATCTATATTCTAATGGCATTTCCGTTTACTGAGCTGCTCCTGTACATGAAATCCATTAAATATGATAATCAATATAGCATGTTAGTGGAGGGATCCTCTGAGCCAAGGCGTGTGCTGAAGCACAAACGCAAACTTCCAATACATGCCTCAAAGTACTGCAATATAATTGGCTAATGAGAACATATGTGATGCCACAAAAGCTTAATAAATACAATGGTGCCATCCCAGACCTGTGTACTAGATGTGGAGAAGAGAAGGGAACATTCCTCCATTGTATCTGGAAATGCAAGTTCAACTATTCTGGAGGGAGATTAAACAAGCTCTGGAGACTACCGTATACTGCTAGTTTTTGACCCCAAATTGTTCATTCTAGGTTTATATCCTGACAGACATCATATGTCCAGAAATATTATTACTGCCTTGGATTTATGTCTACTACTGGCAAAAAGAGTCATAGCACTCTCATGGAAGAGTACCAATAAACCAAAAAATTATTAATTGGATTAAAGAAATATCCACAACATTACCAATGAAAAAAGATTACTTTCATTTTAAAATCGCTTTTTTTTTTAGAACATTTGGAGTCCTTTTATGGAATATATAGAAAACACGGATGTGACGGGTGTCGGGGATGAGTTATAGTTGTAGTTGGTCCCTAAAATAATCTTCATTTGTATACTTGACGACTTTGGATTATATATTCGAGTTTGTATTTTCTGAACCACGTACAAAACTAAAATAATATGGGCTAATTTCTGGAAAATAGAGAATTGTAATTGTTGTTTCTTCTCAGGGGGGTTTGGGCATGGGGGCATTGTGTTTTGTTCTTTTTTTATTTGTTTGTATTTCCTCATATACTCTGTGTGTCATAGGTGCTGCTCTAAAATACTCCGGAAAGACAAGTCGAACGCTGGACAATAATTTAACTACCCTGGACTTTTCCTTCGATGTGAGAGCACACTTATGTCCTGATAATTGTTGAAAAAACTAATAAAGATAATGTTGGAAAAAAACATGATAATCACAAACTTTGGCCTCCACAATTTGACTGATCATTTCATTTTTTTCATGCAGATGTTAATGCATAATAAAAAAAGTTATTCAGAAAATACAAAAAGACAAAACAAAGCCAAATCAGCGTCTTTATTTTACAAACGCATTATTCTATGGACATTTTGTAGATAATAAAAAGGCAATTTACAAGCTTAAGAACCAAAATGAAGCAGCACAGAATGATTATGAGTAAAATATATCATTTGAATAAATATATCTATTTCATGCTATAAAATAAATTCATAAATGGCAATAGATGCGTCTGTAGCTGTAGCTAGCTTCATTTACTTCATAGTTGTACAAAACAGTAGAGTTCTGAGGTTCACAGTTGGGTTGTGAGGTTGTGTGTATAGAGTGAATAAAACGGGAGCTGGGGCTTTTTCTGCTGTCATGGTTCAGTTCGTGATCTACAGTGGGCCTCAGGTTTCAGCTGTGTGGGACATAAGGGCTCATTGAGAGCATGAGGCAGAATGTTTGGGGGTTGAGGACATGTTTCCCCATCAAAGGAGAAGCGAACATTTTGACTATGGAATCTAGCTCAGTGTCCAAGGACACTACTTTTAGCAAAACATACCCTGAGTTCGAGGTTGTTTGTTTTATGCCTTGTCAATAGAAACAAGGTAGCTGGACACTTTCTAGTGCAAGTGTAGGGATTCCTGCAACTAGTTTTGAATCCAGAGGAGCCATAAGAGATCGGTGAACCTCAACATGTCAACAGATTGCCCGCTCTCTTAACAGTGGTGAAACAGCCCAAAAATCCCTTTCATTGTTTCACTCAGCTGGACGTGCGGCTCTGAAGAGTGCCGCTGAGCGCAAAGGTTCGCTATTGTAGCCTACCGACTACTGAGCGTTTCAAACTTCTCTGAGGAAACAACACATTTTCGATCAAATATCTTAAGTCAAGCTGTCCAAAGTATTATAAAATATATTTTAAAATAAAATAAAGATAAAGCAATATGAAATTGTTCTGGTCCTACTTCAGCTCAACCGCTCGCTGACGTGACAGGCCATCATTATATCAATAGGTTTGATGATCCCCAAACGCCAGTTTCCCTCTCAGAAAACAAAAAGGTTATTGCTTTTCTTTCAAAAAATACACAGTGGACAGAAACTGACAGAAAAGCTATGGAAGACTTGTGATTTCTTTAAGCCTGTATCAGTGTTTGTCAACTACCTGAAGTGAGTGTATTAGAAAAGGAATGAGCTGCAATTCGAAAAAGAAGTAGTCTGACAGCCTTCCTTGTAAACACTTCCTTTTGATTACTTGTGGCCCAACTTGATTCTCCCATTTAACTCAAATAGGTGGAAATAAAACTTGACTAAAAGGCTAATTTGTGTGTTTCAAGTTCAGTTGGTTCTGAGTGTGTACTATCTAAGAAGTATCTATAGTTTAATTAAAAGCCTTTAAAACAACTCTGCCTCCATTCACCAATTATGAATACACAATTTAATAAGCTTAAAAGCACCACTTAAGGGAAGAAGATCCCGACCTACTTACCAAAATAACTGTGGGAACTATTATTGAGTTCCTTTAATGTAAATAACGATAAAGTAGACTTTCCAGGTGGAACTGGTATGTAGTTTTGACAATTATAAGTGCACAATCAATGAAACAATTACAATAAACTTAAGTTAAATCTATCAGTTAGCACTTTCATATAATGTTCTGGTTGAGCAACGTGCAATTTGGCTACAATATATGAGGATAGGCTTCCTGCACAAAGATCCATTAATAATCTGCTGAATATTCAGGCAGTTTCCTGCTCCAAGAGAACAAAAAGGAAGCATACGGTTTACTTTTTCATGCATCACCTTCCTTCACTGAAATGCTTCAAATACAGTACATAACTCAAGATTGTCGAGTACAGTCGTTGAACGTAGCAACGTGTCTTGGAAACAAGTCGGCCTTGTTTGATTGTAATCTCCTGCTACGCCGGATCTGTGGCCCAGCCCCATGCCAAACGAAGACTAGGTGAAAATTAGAGACCAGACTTAGCTGAGCCGAGAACAAACAACCAAATTAGGTCCAGCTCATTCTTGAAAACCCCTCTACACAGCCTCGATAAAGTATTCACACCCCTTGAGCATTTGACCACATTACAATCATATGTGTAAATCCGATGGGTTTTGTTAAGTAATAATTAAAACAAAGTAATGCAAAATTGTGAAGTAGGAAGAAAATAAAGAATGTTTATACTTTACTAAAATACCATTTTGGAAATGGTGACACACTTCTTCCCAAGAGCTCTATCTCCATAAAGATCCAGCTGTTCTGTGAAGATCTTGGAGATTTTTTAGAGCACAACTGTTTAGGCCAACAGAGCTGTTGGATAGGTGTTAAAGTCCAGCTGCCTCTGCTAATGGGTCGGTTTAGGAAGATTATAATTTTTGGAAAGTCTGTTTTTTTTTGCAGTTCTTGGGCTTTTAGAGCTCAGTGAGATCAGTTCATCACTTTTTAAATGTCTATTGATAAATAATAAACTGTTTAATACGTTCAGCTGCAGACATTTAATTTGTTACATTTTCATTGTTTGCTGTGAAAACTTATATTTTTAAGAAGCATTTTCACAGATTAGATTAAATTGAAAATAAGGTCACTTCCCAGAGGGGGTGCCTGAAATAAAAGCTAGCATTGTGTCATTTTTTTATCTGAAACTTTAATACAGGGACAAATCAAAATTTGGTAAGAAAAATATGGAAATTAACCTATTTTGCTAATAATCGTACAAATAAAAACAAAGAAAACATTGACACATAAGTGTCTAGTCTTACTGCAGCAAACGCAGTTTGTTCATCAAAGATGTTTCAGGTTTGAAAATGTTACATTTGTAAATATTTCCTTCCACTTCACAATAATGCAACAATTTGTGTTTTTTCTACAGCAAAAAATCCCAATAAAATACAACAAATATGGTTGCTGGGTATCCAAACGATGGGGTGTTAATACTTATAAAAGACGCTGTGTTTTTTGGCCGAGCTATTTCATGTTCTCAAGTGTTTGACTTTTTAAAAATAGTTTCAAAATAAAAGAGGCATATTCTAAGTGCCAGCATTGACTTTGATATAAAGCTTGTGGCAAGGCACGAGGTTAAAGATGCCACTCTGCTCCCTCTCTTTTGATTTTGCAGACTTAATATTTATGAAACCTATTAGACAACTTTTTTTTATATACTTAACTTTTTTATGGCTTAAAATATAACATTAGTTACCTTACTATTTAAAATGTTCTTTAAATTTTACACAACTGATTGTAACAAGCTGAGAAACCAAACTTGCAAATAGCAATCAACTAATTCTACATTATTTAGTATTAAATTAGCAGTATAATCAAAACTGACTCTAAAAATCACCTATCAGTCTTTGGTGTTACTTCTTGGCACAAGATTAATTTTCATCACTCAAGAAATTAATCTGACAGTTTCCGAAAAAGTATGGATGTTTTTCTTGTAGTCCAAATGAGTGGTAACGATTCTACAACTTATTTTTCTAAAGTCGGATCAGCTGACAAAGCAGCAACAGTCAGCGTTTGAAAGATATAAACTTTTACTTAGTAAACATTTATAGGCTGACAAACTGCTTGGGATGAGTAAAAGAGTTTGTTGTTGATTCGTACACAGAGGGAAAGAAAAAGCGAGCCATGATCTAAGCAGAATTTCCCCACAGTTTGGTGTTGCTACTGTATCTGATAAAAGAGTAAAGATGACAGAAGCACATTCAGAAGAGAAACCAAAAAAAAAAAAAAAAGTACTTAAGTAATTTTATGCAGAATCTTTCACCAAACACAATAATTAAGGAAACAATATGAAAGAAAACTATAATATAATCAATTATTAATTCATTGGCAAAAATTCAACACGGCCCAGATAGGAGAAAAATAAAAGTATATAGTAGGTGCTCTTTGAAAAAACACACACACACAAAGGCATTTAACAGCTGGATGGCAAATAAAAGAGCAGAGTAGCACAAAGACAACCACCCGGCTAAGTTTAAAACTTGCAAACAATTAGTCTTGCACTTTCAGTGCCTTTAATATATATATATTTAAAAAAAAAAAACCTTCCCTAATCCCAAATAACACAATGAATATAGGATTAAAAAAAAAAAAAAGTCATGCCACAAGCAAGACCTTTAGCCAATAGAATTTATAAGATTGCTGAGTGTCAATAAAGTTTTTCTACTTTTCTCCAACCAAAGTCATTTTCCAAATATGCATTAAGAATGACCAACAACGCTCTGCTTATTTAATATCTAGGGTAGCACTAAGAAGCGACCTAATTCTGCAGAGTGAAGCAATACTTTTTAGAAAAAAAAAACAACCACTTTGTTTTTAAACCTTAATCATTTCACGGTAATTCAGCTTTGCGACATCCATGATAAAAAGACTCAAAGGAACACACTCCTAATTGGGTTTACAACCAAAAAAAAAAAAAAAGATAAAAACAGACAAAAATTAGCTTTTCTAGATGATGGAATATAAACCATGAGGCAATGGCTGAGATTCCTTTGTTCATTCGTTTTTGCATATTGTTCCAAGCCGCTCCCTAGGTGGCGCTTAGTTAACAGCAACTACTATTGAGAATCACATGGAAGCCTTCCCCTTCATAAAACAAATACACATATGCTAATCCATTGTAAATTTGCCTACAGGGTAAAGAGGTATACTTTGTGGACATGATTCACCCATCACATGGATGAAAGCATCTAAAAGCAACACCTGGACCAACTAAATGAGACTTCAAGTAATGATGTGTTATAAAACTCAGACAATAACATGTATCTTGAAATCATAACAGGGCCATTTTCTCAATTTATCCTCAACATTTTGCCAAAGGAAAACATGTAAGCTAGCAAATTTAATGCACTCCTAACATAGCACCTTCTGGATCATAATTTTAACCTGGCTGACCATAGACAATTGACAAGGACCTTGTCCCCAGTCCATACAATCAGCAAGGAATATTTCCCATCCTAGTATCAAGGCTTTGTGTAAAAAGAATAAGTGTTACAGCGTTTTGGCAAGAAGATAAACTGTACACAAAAGCGAAAAACGGATTTTAAACTGTGAACACGTCTGTGCTGGATAGGTTCTTGGCTATGAGGTAGAACCCGGTGAGTTTCATTTAAGTTAAAATACTGTCTGTTATGAGTATGTAGTTGCAAAATGAGGTATTAAACGGATATGTCACACGAAGCTTTGCACTGGCAGAAAAATCATTCCTTGTGAGTCAGTGACCTCCAGTGGCCACATGTGCAAAAACGGGTCAGGTAAAAAGGTGATATGACAAGCATCTTACCAGAGCTTTCACATTATCAATTATTGCAACATGCCTATATAACTCTGTAAATATTTTTTTTCTTTTCTTAAAAAAACATGGAAAGATAAAAAGAGCAATCAACTGGAGGTCGTGATTATTGGGACCACCGCAAAAATAGTACGTTGTGACTCCCTTTGCTTGAAACAATTTCTATTATAAAGCATCCACTTTCTTTCACTCATTCTCTGCATGGATTTTACAAAAAAAAAAAAAAACTGACAGAAATGCTTGTATCAAGAAAGGTCTGTAGCAGAGGGATTCCAGAAAAAAATTGAGTCCTTTAAGCTGAGTTTAACTAATCATTTCTTAAAGCTTCCTGAACCTGAAGCAGGACCTTAAAAATCACATCTGGATGCTTGAGCCTCCTCCGGACTGCATTTGGAACTCTCGTCAATATCATTGGCTGGTGCCTCTTCTGCATACTGCGCCTCATACGCCATCCCCTCCGGCGCATCCCCGTGATCCTTTTGACCTAAGCTATCCTCGGTTCTCTCTGGGGAGTCCAGATGATTGCTAACCTCCGATGCTCCCATGTGCTTCTTCCGCAGGTGTTGGTTAAGGGTGCCCTGAAATGGGAAGCATTTACCGCAGATCTGACAGTGGAAGGGCTTGTTGTCTGTGTGGCCACGGATGTGGTACTCCAGCTGGTCTTTCCTGGTGTACTTCTTGCCACAGAATTTACAAACAAAGGGGGTAATTCCCATATGCAGACGCATGTGGCGATCAAGACTCCCTTTCTGATTGAAGGTCTTTCCACAGTAGATGCAAATGAGTCTTTCATTGTAAGGGTACCACTGGCTCCGAAGGCTGCGCTCTCGCACATCATTTTCCAACCCTGCAGACCCGACGGCGGATTCAGCATCATCCGAGTTGGGTTTCATTTGACTTAGAACTCCTGCGGGGATAGCCACTGGGCGCTTTGATCTGGCTCTCCCGCCTCTGAAGCTGCTAAGGATGGAGCGAGAAGGACTGGAGTTGCTGAGGTTGACAAAGCAGGAGGAGGACAGCCCTGAGTAAGAATAGGTGGCAGGCTGGATTACGGGACCATAGGAACCCACAGTAACAGCGACAATCTGTTCTCCATCCACAAACTCTGTGTGGTAACCATCGTCGCCAGCCGAGGAACTATCAGAGTACGACGGCCTGTCGTTTTTCTCCACTTTTATATGCACGTCTGTGACTTGCCCATCTTTGCCGATTAGTTCTACTTGTTCGGCGTCTCCTTCCATGGCTGCGTCGTGCTCTGACACACCGTCGCTACTGCCGCGATCCGATTGCCCCTCTTCTTGCTGCCGCACGCGTCCCGGGCCTTTACCTGCCTGCTCCGACCGAGCTTCGCTGGCCCCCTGGCTGTGTCGGGGGTAATAAGGGGGGGAGATCTGGGTAGGGTTTATGAACAGGTTGCTGTCATTGACACCATTGCGACTGATCTGTGAGCTTTCCTTATCTGGACTACCGGCACTAACTGGGAGGCTGATCTTGGAATGGATGCTCTCCAGGATTTGGGTGCATTTGTCGATGATTGCCTGCATCTGCAAAAAGCTGGCCGCTGTGAGGAAACTAATAATATCCTTGAGCTGGAGAGACATGTGACCCGTGTAGCAGAACGCAAGGAGCTGCTCAAAAACCTCGGGGCTTTTAATGACTGAAATGGAAAGGCCACTCATGGTGTTGAGGGCCGAGTGGTCACGAAAGTAGGGTGAACTGGCCGCCAGGACGGCCTTGTGAGCTCGAAACGGCTGACCCTGAATATGAACAATGATGTCACAGAGCTTTCCTTGAAGCCGCAGCTCGTTGAGTTGGGTCAGAACCGTGTTACTGAACTCCGGCACATCAAACTCGATGTAGCTGCCGTCGTCCATCTCTTGGATATGTTTCTCCAGCTTGTCGACAGCCTGAAAAGAAAGAAAACAAAGCTTGTTTTAATATTCTACGCTTACAGCTGCTTTGTGTATTCATGCAGAGAGAGAGGTTAGACAGGATGTTATAACCAATGTGAGATGTAGGGGAAGAGAAAATATTATATTTCTGCTTCCGAGGTCTATGTGTAAAAAGCAGGATAAATAGGTAAGCTTAAAGACAGTTTCAAAAGTGGAGTACATGTTTCATTATTGCAGCAACCGAGAAGTAAAATTTATAAGTGGAAATTTTAAGAATAAAAATAAAAAATGTAATCATAAAATGAAACTTTGAAGAAAAAAAAAAGTCAATCTACTTTTTTCTTTCCTCCTATTTTATTTTTAAAAAACACTTTCCAATAATTTTTTTTATTGATGTTACTTCTGGGGTGGGCTTTCCTTTGCTGTGATGAGCAACTACAGTTTTCAATTGTTCTGTATTAACAACAGCAACAACATTTTTATTGGTCAAGAGCAAGCAGTTATTATGGGCTTGAAGTGAAGCAAATGTGATCTGTGAAACACAATTTGAAAACATGCTTTTAAGCAATCATGTTTCAAAACAAACAATGAAAATATAACGAACTAAATGCACCTAGTGGCATCACAGTGAGCGTGTTTCTCAGATATGATTAATCATTAAGAACAAAGAGTGATGATGATATATTAGTATTTGCTATGGAAACTTAAGGGGTCAATGGTGAAAACCAAAACTCCAGATGTAATCAGAAAAGTAAATCATTAAGAGCAAATTGGATTAATCACCCAGGCCTAGTCGATTCAAATAAAAATGCAGGGGGTTGTGTTGACATCCTTGCACCTTGATAATACTAGAGATGTCCCGATCCAGGTTTTTGCACTNAAGTTTTAATAAAAATGCAAAACAGGGAAACACTGGCGCAAAATAGTAGAATGGGTCGTTTCAATCGGCAAAACTGGAAAATACGGACCGGATTTTTTTTTTTTTAAACTGGATCGGCAGTCTGGATCGGCATTTTACATGCTTTGCCGATACGCATTTTTTTGCCAATATCGGCGTCCCGATCCGATACGTGGATCGGATCGGGCCTAGATAATACATTAGATATCAATAAGAAACATATTCAGTTGAAGGTTCGACCTGACAAAAATCTTTCAGATGCTCATTGGAAAGTGATTCAAGCTTAAAGGAAAAACTAAGAATGAACACCCACACAAATTGGCGTGTTTTGAAATGCATTGCTGTGCAGCATGTCACTCCTTTTGCCATTTGTGTTCTGCGTTTATACGCAAATATGAAAAGGTTACCTTCTAGGGTGGCAACCATAACACAATTTAAATCTTAAATCAAAAAACAGACTTTCAAAACAACCATGATGAGTGGAAATTTTCTAATTACTAAAGTGTCTTTATGTTTTTTGCAGTAATTATTTTAAAATGGCACAATATTTCTATCTTGCTAGCAACAGAAAGTGCAGAAAAATAAAAACCACTCTTTGGCCCTGCAACAAATTGCAGCAATTGATGAGGCAGAGCTGGTTTACTTTATGTTCCATGCAGCTGGTGAAAACTTAAGTGACTCTTGCAATAGCTTTAAGTTATCTGAAATCCCTAGTATGACTGATACCATTACACTTTAAAAACAGAATACGCAGGGTATCACTTTTTTTTTTTTTGTAACGCGGCTGCGTTGTGCAGAAACGGTATAAAATGGATCCAGGCCAAGTTTTCAAGCATGCAACAACCTGGACTTCCTGGATCAACAACTCCAGCAACTTCAAAAATCTGTTTTATAGTTGTTGTTGCATATTCAATTTAAAAATACTTTATTAATACCAAGGGGAAATTAAATGTTGCAGTAACTCATATTTTCTTTTTTTTTTTTTTTTACCAATTGTTCAGGAACGATCTTCTGTAGCGGTCTGTCTTGCAAACACCGAAGGACCTAAGCTTCTTAAGGAAGTACAGACTGTCCTTTCCATTCTTGTAGACGGCTTCACAGTTGCTTCTCCAGTCGCCAACACCTTTGAATTTTCTAATCTTCCTTAGAACTCAGTCTACTGGTATGGTTAGAAAACGTACCAGTGATGCTGGATTCCAAGATATGATTTCACAGCCACGTTTCAGTAAAACACATAATGATGCAAGTATACTTTTGTTGGGTCCTTGTTAGGGCTTAGAGTTCTTCTAACTTGTTTTTTGAAGATCTCATATTGCCCACAAAGACTGATAGAAGAGATGGCCTTAATTTCTTGTTCTTCTCTCATCAAATCTGTCTCTGTGCATGGCCACACCCCCCACACAACCGTCATTGCGCACCTCAAAAAATCCTGACTACAGAGGGTCGCAAAACCGCACAGACCTCAAGCGGAAGCGCGCTGACAAAAAGCAGCTGTGATTGGTCCTTGTTATGCCTTTCTGGCTGTCTGTGTGGTCATCCCTCTCGATTCGGTGGCGGGGTGCGCCATTTTTAAAAACCGAGGAACAACTACAATGGACAACTACGACGAAAGGTTATTCGCTCTTTTTGCCAACTCCATTAACAGAACCTGTTCCTCTTCGATGTCTAGAAACTTTAGCTCAATATCCGTGACTGCGCAGACGCACCATTGTTGTTTTGGAAATTCCAGACCGACGGTGCAGAAGCATACCAGCAAAACTGGTTCGCCACCAGACCCAAGCGACATTTGATGTGTGCGGTTGCAGAAGTATAATCTGCCCTTAATTCTATCCTTGGCGGCTTCTTTTCAATTCAGCTAGTACTTGCAGAAGTAGTTCTAAGTATAATTTCAGCTAAAGGAATTATAATTAAATGTTAATTATTCCAGTTTCACAGCATTCAAAAACCAGAGGCAAAAAACATCCAAAAAAAGAAAGTAACCTAAAAGCAGGGAAATAATGTTCTCTTAAAAATAAACATCAGCACCAAGCTAGCAGAGCTACTGGAACGTAGAGCGACCCTAAACAGCGCAAATCTAGAATTTACATATATATATACACAATCATGTCACCCTTCAGTGTAGTGTAGATGATAACATCTCGAATCAGGGGGACTTTACCTGGCAAAAGGAATTAAGACACTATTAGGCAGATGGTTATAAAGTTAAGCCTAAAAGGTGCGAATAATCACTTTCCAAAGGTTTCAAATGAGAGGTTTAAGTGCTAAAAGGAAAACTCTTGGGTGAATAGTCACACCTTAAAAGGTAACTGATGGGAAAGCAGATAAAGCTTACGCAAAAGCCTGTACAAAGTCTACCCGTCTGTGACTGTAGTGAAACGTTAACAATCATTGGAGCCAGGCCGTATAAGGTGTACTGTACATATAGCGTTTGGCAGGGAAAGCGGAAAATCTGGTTTTGCTTGGAAGGTTGGAACACACCAACTGTTCTTCAGAAGTCTTGCAAAGAAAAGTATTTACAACAACCAGGGTAAATGATAATCTTCCCAAAGCCTACCACCCATGACACAAACATGTACTAAAAAGCTTAACGTTTAATTTAACAGATAAGTATAACTGGTTTCTTGAAAATCTAGGGCATACTTATATATTTATCTCTCTCTCTCTCTCTCTCTATATATATATATATATATATATATATATATATATATATATAAAAAGATTAACTGATAAAAACTATTTTTTTTAATTCAAGTGGTTCATAAAATTGTTAACAGGATACAGCCTTTTAGAACCAAAACCAAATAATTTACCTTAGGGCTCTTCATGTATCACTTTCCGTGACTTTAGGTGTATGAGAGAGAAAAAAAAAAAAAGGAAAAAAAAAGTGGTATGGAGTTAGGCGTGAGATCCAGAACAGATAAGTAACTGCCTCAAAACGAAACTTCAGTAATTTCATACATAATTACACAAGAGAACTCTCTAGGCGTATCCATTTAATACGAAGACAAATAAGCCAGTCCAAGAGGCTGAAGCTGACCTGACAGTTTTGGCATTATCCTCCATTTCAAAACACATTAATTTTTAAAAATGTTACAGCAGATTTTGCCATGCTTTGAACTAAAACAGTCGGTATATCTGCATTGGAAGTAAAGTTATAGAGAAATGGTTACTGGACGTGGTTCTTCAAGAATCTTCCCATGAAGAAAAAACTCATTAACTACATCACAAAACCAAAATAAAAATAAAAAAGTATAAACTACCATGGAATCAGACATCTATTGATTTTTGGCTTGACAGCCGCTATTTTTTCTCAGTTAATTTAGATTAGAAATGCGCTGCTCTGTTCTCCGTCCATGTCTCAAACAGGAAGATCGTTGAGGAACACCTCTTATTGCCATTTCCTTTGTTTACAATCACTGCTAAATAGCCATCTGGTAGAATAATCATAATAGTCTAAAGGTTCATAAAATACAACGTAACAAATATGAGACTTTGGAAATCTAGAAAGTAGTTTTGCATCAGTTTAGGCCCATCTAGGACAAGCAGTTTGCTTCAGCTTTCAGGGACAGCTAATCCGCACTTACATTAAATCACAACGGCAAGAATGAGTTGTTAATTGCAAATAATGCTGTATTAAAAGCTCATGGACAACCTTAGATGGAACCTTTGTTTAAAACTGGTGAACTACCTCTTTCAGCTGCAGTATATGTCTAGCTTTAACTTCTCTCTCTTATCCTCTTGACTGCCCCACATTTCCCAACTGACCAGGATATTAAACATCATCCTCTCCAACGTGTGTACCAGCAGCACGCAGAGGATGTAAACACTTCAATCATGAAAGCTTACCGAGATATCTGTCTAACAAACCTCAAGGTCTTCTCATCAGAAAGGGAGGGTTACTTTAAAACTAAAACTAAGAAATATATATATATATATAGGAAGATGACTGACTTTCACTTCTGTTAGATGAATAAAAAACTCATACTCATGCACACACAGAATGCCATGTAAACTGGATAGGGCAAAGTAGAAGAGCAGCCAAAGAATACATGCTCAGCAGCTGAAATGTACATGATGCGTGAGGATCACATGCTTTGCCTCGACTCGAAACTATGCAAGCTAAGCTAATGCAGCTCATATATTTCTTGTTAGAGCATGGGCTGAATGCTGCTGCTATGTTGGTGTATACAGACCATTTATTAAAAAGTTTGTCATTTCAGTAGAAGGGGGGGAAAAAAGCCAGCAGGCAAGCTGTTAATGCTTTCTTCAACATCAGCAGGCAGCATTTGCCTACTTTGAAAAACGGTTTGTGGGCCACACCAGGCCTGGGCCAGAACTGCTTAACAAGCAAAGAACGGAGAACAATTTAAAACGGATACTAAAGCGACGATATAAAAATAGACCAGACCATTAAAGGACTGAAGGGAGAGTAATATGTGCATCATTTCGCCAATGTGAAAATGAGACTCATCCTGAAAAGAACACAAAGCCATGAAGATTTCATATTCAATGGGTGGGTTCTTTCACTGGAAACGAAACAATAAGACAAATTTTTCATTTCAGGCTAATTACATGTTAATCAGAAAATAGAAAAAAAAAGGATCTTAAAACACTTGATGCCATCTTTGGCTTCTTTAAAAAAACTAAATATTACTAATAAATTCTCAAAAAATGAGCAAAGTCTTATTTAGATAATAAGTTAACTTTTAACTCAAAGTATCAATGGACTGGCTAAAGTTATAGTTTGATATTTTAAATTTGATATAACATCCTTAAAACAGAAATGGGCACATGACCAACTGCAGTTTAGATCTAGGAAACAGCAAGACTACAATGAACAAAGGAGAACAATGCACAGAAGCCAGTTGATATATAATATAAGTATGAATACACTAAAGAAATGTCCTCATTTCAAGTTTACACACACATTCAAAATTAGGTTTTTTTTTTTCTCTGAATCACCCAAACAGATTTGATGGATGCATGGAAAGAAAATAGTGATGAACTGAAGTTTTAAAACAAAAATCTGATTTTCTAGATTTAGATACACCGATTGTCTTTAAGAATCAATAAAGGGGAGTGGACCTGTTCTTTCGGTTCAATTTGCATGCTTTCTAATCCAAAACAAGACTTTGTTGGGTTACTCTATAAAGCTTGGAACTCAACACTAATTTAAAAATTTTGAATAGAAAAAGCTTCCTGGATGGGAAGCGAAACATATTCAAAGTTAGAAAACAAAGTCCACTTTTTTGGTATGGTCAATAAAGAGGAAAATGGACATCTTTCAAACATGAGATCTAATGTTTATGGTACATCAATAAATATGTAACAAATATCACAAGATCATGGGCTAGAGGCAACCTTACCAAGGCTACTACTACAAAAACGAATCCTGCTTGTTACTTCTAACATCTTTATAAAGTTGCACTACACAATAACAGCTTTCTAATGGACCCGATGAAGTAATAAAAACAGAAACCAAATGAGAATCAATACAATCCAACCATCACCACACCAGAACAGAGATCTTATAACAAAAGAATAAGTTGGTTCAAGACCACAAAGCAGTTGTAAACACTGCATCTATTTTGGCAGCAACAATCAAATCAAGCATGTCTTTGTGGGACTAATTATGGTAACAGTTGGAAATGTCAAGCAATAACATCTTATTTCAGGGATATTCTAATTCAATCAAGAGAAGAACGATGATAATGTTTTTGCTGCTTTAACACCAGAATTTCTCTAACTATTCTATGATTGTAAGATCTGTATAAGGTAGTGAAGACTGCCACTGATGACTTGGGTGAACGTAGGTTAAGTGAGAATAATATGCTTTTGCAATGTCCCTGCACTTTGTCCTGTCCTGCCATATCTCACTTTCTTAGAACAAATTGTAACAAAATGTTCTGACATATCTGCCATCCCACATCGCACCCTAGGAAACCCAGAGATGTTTCTGACACTTGGGATCTAAAAGCAGCGCTTTCATAATTGTACTGAGAAGTTCATTTAAACAGTATTTCTACGTACATGTGAAAAACTCACTTCTTTTGATGTAATAATGCTTCCATCAACCTTAACACGTTGATGCTAATCCACGAAAACGTACAATTATATATTACACACGAATCTCTAAACGTGTCGCCTTTTTAGACACATAAGAAACAAGTTTAAAACTTTGATGTAAAGTAGTTAATGATGAAGGGAGGGGGTTTGGATGGTGGATCTAAATAGCACAGCCGCTAGCCGTTTGCGCTAGCTTCATCATCACATCGAGATTTTTTCCTTTAAAACGGACTCCTAATCATCTCCCACTTCAACCACAGGTTTAAATAAAAGTTAATGCCACTTAACCACTTTGAACCGACCCACTGAGCGCTACAAGCTGCTCATTCAGAGTCAAATTAGCAATGACTAACTAGCTACACTAGCTAGCCGATGGTCATGTTTCATAGATAACTGAAATGCTTAAACAAATACAAATATTTTTATTCTTCAAATATCATTTATGAGCTATAACTCAATATTATAAAATATAAATATCGAGCCATTTTGGTTTAATAAAGTTACAAAGTCTATCGAGGATTTCACACAGCTACGATGCTATTTAGCTTAATGCTAACATTTAGCCGTAGCCTATTAGCCGCTCTCATTCCAGAGCCAAGCTTTCGCTACAAGCTAATGCTTGCTAGTAGATAGCAGCTAGCGTGCGGTTGTAGGGAATGATTTGGCTATTACTTACACTGAAAGGGAACCGACGCGTCGACATTACAATCACACTACGATCAGCAGTCCATGCCAAAGACGCAGTCCGCCACACTCACCGTCTTGCAGGTTGGCATTTAGATGCTGTCCATTCCCCTCAGCAGCTCGCTAACACTACAGCCAGGCCTCCCCCCCCTTTTTCCAAGTCCAGATGTGTCAGGCAGTTGCTGCTGCGATGTTTGCATCAACAGGAAGTCTTCTTTACGCCCGTTGCATTCATTCTATCTAATCTATGTTGCAGCAGAGCAGCCCCTCCCTTGCTCGTGTCAGTGTTATATGATGACATATTATGTTCTTTATGTATGACGGGATGGGGACGTGCACGTACAGGAGATGAATAAAACGCAGCAAATTGCCTGTTTCTTAAAGTTATTTGACCGATTATTTTAATATACATTTTTATATATATATTGATATTTTTCTTGCATTGTAAAGTATTTGTCCACTTTTTAAAACTATGACTTTTTCCAAAAAAAAGTTAACATGTATAACATGGTAACTTGAATTATAACAGATTATAACCTGGCACCCATCTAAGTTTGAGGCTTGTCTAAGGCAAAGTGTTTTACTCACATAAGGAAGTAATAATAATTATATACAATTAATATTAGCAGTGATATAATGATATTATCATGATGTAAAATCATAATTATTTCTTATTCACATCTAAGTAAAAATTTTCGTTTATTTTTACTATTAAAAGAAGAAAAAACATGTCTTTGACTATTTTGTTGGTTTAAATAAATTTCCTTTGCAACAGGGCTCTTGAAAAAAGGACATATAGAAACATTTGCACTTCATTTCTCTTCCACAAAGGGGCGCCAGAGTACAATCTGATGAAACACTCTCAGTAATACACGTCATATAATATACATTTGTAATGGAAATATTTAATGGAGACAATAGCAGCAATTTCATAAGAAACCAAATTGAACTCATATAATTACAGTAATATTAATAAAAAATAGAATACTAAATAAGACATTAATAAAAAGAATGAAACATAAAATAGAGAATCAATTGAAAAATGATTTTCTGCAAAAAAGTCTTTGCAAAATATTACAATAATTCAATCCCTACTAGGTTAATGTACTATATTTTTGGCTCCAAGCATTTATACTGCATATCAGTAAAATATTAGGGCCTTTGCTTGAACCTTAACATCCTTAATCTCCATGCTTAATGTAGACGTCAGTCACCAAGGCACTGAAGCTACTGGTAAATTCTTGGAAAACTTTGAAAATAGAAAAGCAAGAGACTAGTGAATTCAATACAGGTTAACAGTAAGCAACATAAACTTTGCCATGTTTCACAATGATATCATTATTTCCTGATACAATGCAGCCCTAACATAACAACAGCAATGATTTAACTGCTGCTTTTTCATTCATTTCAGCTTGATTGTAAGGCTCTTTGTAAACACTATTCTGTGTTTGATCTGAGTAATAATTGTTGACTGGATTTTTTGTAGATGGTTAAAAGGACAAGTAAGCCCCTGTTCTCTATTCTCTGCAGGATTTTATCTGTTATCCCTGAAGAGATGAAGGATGAATGTATACTGTGTGGCTTTCTGTTTTTTTTTCTAGCATGAGTGACAACTTGGCAGCTCAGGTAAATATCTGACCTAATCTTCGTGCAGGTGGGTGATCAACTTTGAGAAAGGAATCGCTTTGTCATTGCACGTGTGCCTTGTTAAACAAGCCAGCATTTTATTCTCTGCAGTGATCCCCTCCCCATCTTTTTTTTCTGTCCAGAAGATCGACGTGCAAGCTAAGGTCCAGCCAAACTACGTTGTTTAGAGATGCTTTTTGTTGGTCTGCAGGAATGATGATATTGATAACATTTCAAACAGACCTGCAATCAAAGAGTTTCTTGTTGAGGTTGTAATCTTTTCTGAGACGGTGCTTTGTGAGCTCCGTGTCGTTTGGTTGAGCAAGTATTTTTTGGCAGTAAGCTAAGCTGTGGATGGTTTTGAATGCAGCAGTGCCCGGGATCGTGTTGGGGCTCCAGGTGGCGTGGCCTAGGGCTCTGATGTGCTGCCCCTTTTTAATCCCAGATGACATTGCAAAATCCTCAAACCCCATGGCCTTGTGTAGGACTGTATAGAAGCAGAGACCAGGTGATTTGTTTAAAAAGTGCATATCATGTATCAGACTGGGGGAATAAGGAGCTCCACTGTCTTGTGTTTAACCTGAGACCACGGCTAATGCTTACTAAGAAGATAGGTATTTTTATATATTTGGGTGGGTTCAATAAAACAATGCTATTAGTATTATCAACTAATGTGTTGAGTCACTATTTGTTATTTGTTGACTGGAACATATTCTGTAAACACTTACAGTATAAAACGATTGCATATTATTTATAAAAAGCAAATCCATAGCTATTCGTTATTATTTCGTTATGAATTGATGCTAGATATTTTAGTAGATTAACTTCATTTGGCTTAAAACTTATAACTAAGTTAGGATGAATAACTTATTGTTTCTGACAAGTGCCGAAGAGTCCCAGAATACCTTGGCTGCCATTGCTAAAGAGAACAATGGTTTCCCAGTCTTCCTGTCCAGAAAAAAAGTCTGTAGTTCACTGATGGAGAACATATTTGCCAATTGCAGGTGTCCAAGCCAGTCAGAGTTTGATCCTCGCCACGGCTGTAAATAAAAGGGCCAGCTCGTCCAGGTGCAGGACAACCTTCTCTGGCCCACTCACATTTCTCCTCCGTGGAGAAGAGCGGCGTGCTACGATGGATGTGAAAAATGTAATTAGCAATCAAAATTACTCAAACTCCTAGAGAGCAATACAAACCTGTTAGTATTTCTTTCATTTGTAACCACTTATTTATGCTACAACAACAAACTTCCATTTGAGTTATGCTTAATTGTGAAGTAGAATTAAAATAATAGATCCTATTATATGTGTAAAAAATAAATAAATAATATGTATAGATCTGAATTTAGCTCCCCTTTTCATCTGACTTCATTTGATTGTTGATTGAGCAAAAGTCCCCCTTTATAATTTGATCTGATTAGAAAATCAGCTGTTTGGTGAAAGTCTCACAGGTTTTTGCAAGAACATTAGTAAGTATACAGCCTAATAAGGTGTGATGTGAAAGGGTGCAATGGTGCTACAAATACATAAATGTGTTGCAACACAAAAAGTACAGCAAACTCATAACACAGATTAAAACATAAAATGCGTGCAAAGGAAAAAAATATTGCAAGTGGCAAAAATAAAAAAATTATAAAAAAAAAAAAAGCTTCAAATTAGGGGAAGAAATGCAAAACCAGACCAAAAACATTACAAAATATACAATATTAATGTCTATGGAACAGACACCTAAAAAAATTTTAACATATATGGGATGCCTTGCTGGAGGACATTTGGAGGGAAAGAAAATAAGATATATTTTCCTTTGAGTCTTTTTTCAACTATTTAATCAGAGCACCATCTTTGTTAAGGGTCTGATCCCATGAGAGTTAATGATCACCTTCTAGTGTTCTGGAGCTCTTCTGTTATGCATAGGTATTTTTGAGCTTTATATCTTATTGCTGTTGTGTTTGCTTCTTAATGCAATGTTCCTTTCCATGTCTTTTGTGTGTTGATTGTGCGTGTTAGTGTCCTTTATGTATTTGCAGAGTATTTGCATTTCACTGCCCTACATTTTCGTAAATGCAGCATTTTCTCTTTTGTAGCAAGTATCCTTAGTCTTTGTTCTGGTTATTATTATTAGTGTTATATTTGTGTTTGCTAATCCAGTTTTTGTGTTAGCTGTACTTTTTGTATTTTCTGTTCAGTGGCGCCTCCAGAAATGTTTCATAGGGGTGGCCAGATGGGGCCACTATTTTATTTATTTGTTTATTTGACAGGGACAGTACAATTAAACATAGCAACCAAACAGGTGGCCGATGTCCAAGTACATAAGGCTTGTAGCCATGGGCTAATTTGCAGCCTTCGTCCCTGGTTAGGCTTTAAAAATCTTGGGGTGGCACAATGAAACTAAAAGCCATAATTTCAAGGTTTGAACCTACTATTGTGGTAAACCTGCCTGTCTGAGTAGCTGTTTACTTAAATCATAACGACTTAAGTAAACATCATCATTTCTTGGTTTATTGCGTGATTTTTAATGTCACGTCACTGGCTGTGCATAATGGGATGAAATGCTGAACTGATGCGACTACATGCTGATGAAGATTCTCAGTCATCCAGGTCATAGTCATTCCGTAAAGTTAAAAAAATCCACTGGACTCGGTTTCCAAGATTTGAAGATGCTTCGCCACCTCTCCAGGAAGCTTTCTCATTTCAAAATCATCAATCAATCAATTAATTCATTTTGAATTGAGAAAGCTTCCTGGAGAGGTGGTGAAGCATCTTCAAATCTTGGAAACCAAGTCCAGTGGATTTTTTTGAACTTTTACGGAATGATGCTACTATAGTTTACGCTGGCGTGCGGGGTGACCAGGGCATTGCACAGGGAGGCCGTGGCCATCCTTGGCCATGCCCTGGTGGTGCCACTGTTTCTGCTTGCTTGGTGCTTGCACCTCTCAGTCACAGTTTACAAGGAACGCAGCAGAGCAATCAGGGTTAAAGCTGTGTGGAAGTTAAAAGATCTGCCACGTCAAAACAAATCTATCTCAAGACTTGAGCCTGTCACGTAGGTAATTAAGGGAATGTAAAACTAACTAGCCATGTCAGTCCTCCTTAGTTTATCCGCCCAGCAAAATAAGGAAAGCAGAAGAATGTCCAGAAAGGCCCATATAACTTTGGGGACAATCAAAGCTTAGATGTACACAACTGTTGGACATATTTGTGGATTTACTTACCTCCCCTCTGGCCTTTGTAGAGACGTAGCTAAAACATGATTTATCAGAAAATAAATGTCAAGACATTTTATTGGTTGGTCAGATGAGACCCATATTTTTACATACATTAAGAATGCTAAGAGAGTAAGAATACAAACACTGCATGTTAAACTGAACTGTGTGTTACCCTATCCCACCATGAAACATTGCTGCGCCAGCATCATAGCCTGGGCTTGCTTTTTTTGATCAGTTACTGGGAACTGGTTGTAGTTGATGGGGAGATTGGTGAAGCTAGACATGGCAAATGTGGAAGAAAACCTGTAACTACAAAAGGTTTATGACTGGGGCAAAGGGGCATCTGCTAGCAATAGAGTGACCGAGAAACAAACAGCCAGAGAAACAACAGAGACATTTAGATTGAAGTGTATTTATG